TTCGGCGGGGTTCTGCACCAGGCCGGCGGGCTCCGGGTCTCCGCCGACGAGTAAGACGTTTGTTTCTGTGTTTTGGGGTTAAATATAAGGGAAATAGGAGAGCGGGCGTTCGAAGCGGTTTTGGGTGGTGATAAAAGTGCTAGGGGTTGGGCGTGGGCCAGTTGCTGAACGCTGATAGGTGATCTTTAACCCTTCTTCTCTCCTGCCCCCCAAACGGGAAGGGAATAAGGCAGAGTGACTTACAGAGTGGAAAAGTGAAATGGCTTTGATGAAGTTATAATAATACTACTAAAAAAATTATATACAAATCCAATATCGAACCTAGCCCCACTGGTATCAGTCACCACTGATGCTGCAGAGCAGGCAGGGACTGAGGAAGCCCCAGGCTCAGTGGCAGAGGGCAGCTGGGTACAGAAGCTGGATTCCGACTCCTTCTGCTCAGACACTGGGGTCACTGAAGAGGAGGGCTTAACCCCTGCGATCCCTCAGCTTTATACTGAAAATTTCATATATGTAATGGAATACTCCTGTTGGTCACCTGTCCTGTCTGTTCCTTTCTAGAGGTGCAACTTCTTACTTTCTTGCAACGCCTTTTATTTCCTGGCACGCTCAGTGTGTTACAAGATCCAGCAGGGACCTTGGTCACTACACTAGCAAGTAGCGTCCTTCTGCATCCCAATCCCTGGCGTTAACTGTAAACATCAAGTGTTGTACTTCCAGTAGCAGACATTGCCAAAACAAGCTGTTAATTTCAGCAGATGCAGTTTCTTAGAAGAGACTGAGCTGGAAAGTCAGACCACCGAGCAGAACTGGTTCTGTTTAGCTCAAAGCAGCATAGTAGCTATCCACCTTCCCCTATGGCCCATGAGGCCTGGGATGTTTCTGCACCCTGTGGTGGTACCCAGGCCATATAGGTTTTTCAACCTGTTGGGCTGAGACTCAAGTCCTTGTGGTTGTCATTAAATAGATTATAAGAGCTTAGAAATGCTCCTGGTCACGTCTGTGAGCAGCTGCTACATAAGCCAAGAAAGCAGAAGGTCATTCACCATATAAATAAGAGATTTTGTTCAAATCTATAGCATAAGAAAACCTAAATTCAAGATCTGGTAGGAATGGATCTGTATGGGATATATTTATAGGTCATGCTACAAGTTTGATGCTTCTTTCCTGTTTACCTTAAGATGTTAGCTGCTGTGATGCTTGACCAGACTTAAGAAGAGCTGTTGTGCCATTGGTCTCTGGATATAAAGAAACTTTGCAAGTTGCCTGTAATGTGATGGAAACAAGGTGTAGCAAGTTACTTTTTTAATGGGGTGCGAAATCAGGGTTTTAACTTGAGATGTTCCCCTTTGACTTTCTGAACATTTGGATTATGAGAGTCAGCAAGTATCCCATTTTACAGAAAGAGAGATTGGCTTGCAAGATCCGAGTATCTGCTCCAGAAAAATACCATGGCCCTCTTGTGTTACGTCTAGTTATAATGCTTCTTGCCCCATAGGTTTGTGAGCAAGACAATACCTGGACCTGAGTTTGGATGCTGCTGTGCATTTGACAGGCAGAAGCATTTGAACCCTTGCTGTCCCTGACCAAAGTTAAAACACAAATACAAATTTCAAAGAGGGATTACCTTGTGCAAAATGTTGTTTGTAGAGGCTCGCTGATTCACTGAGGAGGATTCCCAGTTCCAAATTAGAGATCCAAATGTTTAAACAGCAGAGCTCTGTGGAACCATGCGTAGGAGTGATCGGACTTCTTGACAGTTGTTGGAAAGATCACTGCAAGAGTAGTCGAATGCAAACTTGTGGCTTCTAATGTTAGCTTCTTAAATACCAGGGGAAATAAAAGCTTGGCTGTTCTGTTAAGAAAGCCTTTGCTGCATAGATTGATATAAGCTTGACTGAACAACAAATTGGTCTTTATTATAATTTATTTTTGTGTTGTTTCAAGCACATCTGAAATATACTTTAGCATGATTTGCTAGATTTGTTGTCCTGCAGGTCTGATTTCAGAAGGTGTCAGGAGACCTCTTGGGCCACCTCTTTCAGCCATCTGCATCCACTGCAGATGGTTAAGGTTAGTTAAGGTGTGTAGGATGAAGCTGGAACAGGGCATGCAAATTTTCTTTGCTTTGATAAAATGGTCATGTTTACTTATGAGGTAAGTGATGGGGACTAGACATGCTTGGCACCCTTTCGAGTGTGAATACTTTTTAAATATGATCCGATAACGATGCTGATGCTACAATCATCAATAAGAATGCACCTGGGAATAATATTCTGTTCACCAATTTGAATGCATTGTTCTTTAGGCGAAGTGATGCAAATACGGATCAGGCGGTACAAAGTTTGTAGTACCCTAATTAACGTGTCTGTACCAGTTGTATTGGACTTTATGAATAAATGCTGAAGCATGTTGTCTTTCTCACATATCCAGCTATTACCATTTAAAGTATTTTTCCAGCAACGCCTACTGTTAATGGTCAAGTTGAATGTTACTTGCCTTCTTGGTTTCTTAGGATACCTTAACATCAACATTTATGCAGCTTTCACGCAGCTTTCACTTGTCTGTCATTCTGTTGGACATTCTTGTGTTAGTTTGACCTTCCTGTGCGCTTCTTTGAAAAACTCTTCAAGCCTGAGTGATGCTTCCTCACAAATTAGTTTCTACTGGCTGCCGTTTGGCTGCATCAGTCTATGGAGGGAGTCAGGCTTCTTTTAAAGGTGGCTGCACATCCTCCCGCTTACCCCTGCCCTCCCTCCCCGCTCTGCGCCTTCTGTCTGACAGAGAGAAATACGTGCCTGAAATTATTCAAGAGTGGTATTACCTATATAGTAAACTGATGTTTTTTCAATTTGTACTTATGTTAAGAACGCTGTATTTCTTTCTTAAATACTTCCTTTTTAATTTCATGTGTCTGTCTCTTCTATGATGTTTTCATCTGGACGTTACTAAAGACTTGCTTCTCTTCTGAACCAAATACAGTACAATGCATTGCTGTAAAATACCAGTAAGATGGAAGACCGCATCTGGTTTGTGGTGTTGTAAAGTAGATCTGGTTTCTAAACTATGCAGATAAATCTGCACGACAGACTGGACACCTACTGAGTTACACGGCTGGTTGGAAGCGGTGCAACTCATAACGGAGTTGGCTTTGTTATAAAAATTTTCAGCAGTGGTGTATCTTCCTAGTGTGCTCCCCATCCTCTTTGTCCTCCTGTTTTCTGTGAACCCAAGAGTATCCACTGTTGATCAGCCTCTTCAGGAAATCGTTAGTACAAGTGTCCAAGAGGTAGTTGATACTCTCTGACAGGACCTGAAAGTTTCTGCTTTCTCTCCAACTGTTGGCTACTTGCCTGAAGAGTTTGCTTAATGAAAGTATTCCCAAGGGAAAAGAAGTAAAGGCAGGCTAGCATGAAGTGGTAGGAGATCTAAGACTCTTTTTTTTGTAAAGAGGTCTCAAACCAAAAATAGTAAATGGACACAGTGAAGACTAAAGGAGAGAGGTCTTGGGGAAATAAGAGTTACACAATTCAGTTGACAGGTCACTTGGACACATGAAAAAGTAATGCTTTTCCCTGTGGCTTTAGGTATCTCTTATTCTGCTACTTAGTCTCTTGGAAGTCATCCCTCCCTACTGCTTTAAAGATGACTGTTGCAAGAGGCTGGCTCTTGCTATATCTGTTTATTGTGGCTTCTGCTTCGCTGGCTTGTGCGTAGACAAATATCTCTGCAGCAGCATATCTGGAGAGTTCAGCTAACAAGCTATCTTGGTGTTCATCTGAGATAGGAAGGTGTGTGTAAACCGTTTTTGGTGATGCAGAATTGAAGCTTTGAGAAAAACAGCTCTTGCGAGTATGGCAAAGCAAGGAGCAGAAGGCATTATCTTAGGAGTTCCAGCATTGCAGCAGCAAAAACTGTTAAGTGCTGACTCTAGCTTCTTTAACTTAAAATGTCTTAAGACTTTCTGCTTTATAATGCCAGTATTTAGTATAATCAGAATGCTTTGGGTTTGAAGGGATCTTTAAAGGTCATCTAGCCCAGCTTCTCCAATTTGCTTTTTCTACCAGGTTATCTCAGAAAGTTAAAATTGTATGACTAAGATCACTAATTGACAGCAGTGTCGAACATAATGATGATAATCCTCTTTATGCCATTTCCTAGATATAGTGGCACCCCAGGGAGGCTCCAAGCTGCTAGCCATCAAGGCACCAGTTGAATTTCCTAAAATGTTGTCTTCTAGCTCTCTCCTAGTATCTGCAAACAAAGGTGAGAGCACATCTAGTACTAAACTCGAGGAAGCTTCAAAACCTTCTGCTGAAGACATGAGGATGTTCATGTCAAGAAAAACTGTGGTTGCATTTCCTCAGCGAGTAGCTATGTCTTCCCCTGAGGAGGAGAACCTCACTACATCTGCAACAGAAGGAGGCTTGAGGAAAGAGTTAGTTGAGGAAGAAACTTCATCTTCATCCAGCTCAGATTCAGGTTCTAGCTCAGATTCGGAGGAAGAAAATGATAATGATGATTCAGAAGTTGCCGCTAAAAACAAACATAACTTTCCTAGACAAAATTCCATCTTTTCTGAGAACATAGCAGTAAAGGCATCAATGCTAGCAAGAGAGAACTTGTCCCGGAAAGCCCAGAAAGAATATGTGGGTAAGAAGAAGCCACGCAAAACAGAAACTGATGTGTCTCCTATCAAGCAGGTTGCATTTTCTAAACCAGCAGCCAGCCATGAAACATCAAAATCCAAAGCAAGAGACCCCAAAGTGAAATCAGCTCCAAAAGAAGCAGATGGGCAGAAGCTGGTCTTAGAGCCACATGTGATTGAAAGCCGAGACCTGACTGATGTCACTCATAAATCTGATTATTTGGAGGAAAGGTCCATTGGAACCCAAGTAGCAGCTATTCAGCTGAGAGGTTCGTCAGTGATTCAGGAAGACAAAAAGCAAAAACTGGTATCCAGAGGAGAAGAGAAAAAGGTGAAGGGGATGCAGGAACCAGAAGCAGAAGAAGTAACTGCTCCTAAACTGGAAGAAGAGACTTCTGAAAGCACAATGTTGGTGATGGGGACTACAGCAAAGGAGCAGACCATTCAGAAAGCAGGAGTCCAGGCTGGAGAAAGCAGCATGACAGAGGGTACAAATTTAAATTGTTTGAACTGTATTGATTGATCTGGGCTAAGGTTTGACTTTTTTTAAAGAGTTTCCAAATCTTCTTTGTTCACGACTCTCTGATCTTTCCACTGAAGCTAAGTGTGTAGCAGTGATAGCTTTCTGGTAGATAAATTCTTGTTTGTTGCTAGTTTTTATAAGTGCTCAGCAATACTTATTCTTCAGTTATGCTGTGAAAAGAAGCAGTCTTCGTTTCAGTGTATTTATAGTTTCATGAACCAATAACTTACCAAATGGAAACAAGATTGTTTCCACTGTGAGCAAAATCATGGGGTTTATATGGTAAAACTTGTTTTCCCTCTTCTCGGTTATCAGAAAGATTTGGTACCTGCCTTTCTCCTGAGCCAAATTTGGTGCCATCTGATTTTTTTCTTAAATCCTGCTTTCTCTTTCTTCCTGTGTTTAAAAAAATTTTGCAGTGTTTCATATTTCGTTATACTTCAGGAAATCATAGTGTGTTGCCAGAAATGGGTGTCGGTTCTATGATTGGTTCGTTGTGAGAGAGTTGTGTTGAAGTAGCACAGAATTGACCTTATGACCGAGTTTTTGCAGTGAGTTGGGGAGAAGACAGTGATGTGTTTCAGGAAAGAGCACCATGCATCATATAATCATCTCCCTAGCTCTACTTCACTTTCTAACTTATTGACCTGTTAACTTACCTACTGACCTACTGATCTCAGTCTGCATATTTCAATCGCAAATCCTCCTCGTCCTCATCTGTGGTGGTTTACCGTTCTTGCCTTTCAACTTAGGCAGCATACCATTCTTAGGACCCCCTTGCTTCTGTTTGCTGCTTTGAATTAGAGAATTTGCCTACTTAGAAGTAAAAGCAGCATAATTGTAAAGTTGCTTGGATGTCATCCTTCAAGTGATATCCTTGCAGAAAAGGCCATGGTGGGTCCAGGTGGACAGCAAGTTGAACACTAGCCAGCACCATGCCCTTGCAGCAAAGACCACCAGTGGTAACCTGGGCTGCATTAGGAGCAGTGTTGCAAACAGGCTGAGTGAGGTGATCCTTCCCTGGAGAGATGCACCTGGAGTGCTGCGTTCAATTCTGGGCTCCCCAGGACAAGAGACATGTGGAGCTACTGGAGAGAGTCTAGTGAAGTGCCACCAAGATGGTGAAGGCACTGGAGTATCTCTCCTGTGAGGACAGGTTGAGAGCTGGGACTGTTGAGCCTGGAGGAGAGAAGGCTTGGTGAGGAATATCTCAATTTATGTAGACAGCTGAAGGGAAAATGCAAAGAAGACAGAGGTAAGACTTTCTTCAGTAGTACCCAGTGACAGGACGAGAGGCAGAGGGTATAAACTGATACTCAGGGGTTTGCCCAAACATCAAGAAACACTTTTTTCTTCTTTTAATGTGACAGTGACTGAGCACTGGCACAGGTTGCCCAGAGAGGTGGTGGAGTCTCTCTCCTTAGGAACATTCAGAAGCTGTCTAGACACAGTCCTGGGCAGCCTGCTCTAGCTGACCCTGCTTGAGCATTTGGGGTTAGACAAGATGATCTCCAGAGGCGTCTTCCATCTGCAGCTATTCTGTGAACCTGTGAAGTGTCTAACCAGGTTAAGTGACAAACAATTGGTTTTGTATGTTGGTTTCCAGAATACAGTGCTGACTAGAAGACCTGCCTTCTGTTTCGAGGGGGTTAGTCTGCTCATAATTTCGTCTGTTTTAGGAGATGGAAGCTAAACTTGCCTTTTTTCCTGACTGCAACTCATATGCTCAAATGCAGCACTGTTTGCAAGGGACATTTTCACTTATTTGTTCCTCCTTGCAATAAGCAGCAGAAGCTTTCTTAAAGAAAAAAAGTTAGGAAAGGCTATTTCTACTTTTTGACAGATGATGCTTTTCTCCCCTTTCATCCACAGTAGAGTTCTAGATCCTCAAGCACTGTTTTTTTTCTTCCACGTTGACATTACTGTGAAGACCCCAGAAATGAGTTCAGTTAACTTCAGATATGAGAAGGAAGACTTGATCTTAAAATGTGCTAATGATTCAAGGTGAATATCATTGCACATTGAAGATCTATGAAGCAGCTGCCTCTACTCTGATGCTGTAAATCCAGAAGGAGGTTAAGCCCATGTGACAAACTTTTCCTGCAGATCTGTATTGACAGGGCAAGGGTACCACCATGCCTCGGAGACAGCATCATCACAACCGTACCAGCAAAACCCTTTCTGGGTAGGACCTGGCTTTGCTGAAAACAGCACTTCTGCTGTTGAGCTCCTCTCCCTCTGCGGAGGTGGTGAGGCTGTGACGACAGGAAAGTTTCTGTTGAGTGTGTGCTGGAGAACTCTGCTGCAGTGGCTGTAGGGGAGGCGGGGGTTAGTACAGGCAAGTTCATATTCCTTTACTGCTGGTGTAATGTCTTTGGGTGCCAGACGGTAGCAGAGAGTCAAATCTAGCTACTGGTATCTCCAGGCATATCTTGTTTTCTCTCCCTTTTGAGGCGTTTGAGAACAGCTACTGCTTTTCCATGTTTGATGTGTGCGGTTAATAATACCTTCTGTAATTTGTGCTTCTGTCCTGTTCCTGTGTTCTTTTGTTCGTCTGCAAACTCTGCAGCAGGCATGCTGAAGGTGTAAAAGCAGTTTTTTCCATTGCAAACATGGATGTTAAGGTGATGTCATCCAATTTGTAGAGTGGGCATGCTAAGCCGTCAGCAAAAACTGCTGACTTAAGCTGCTAAGTAAGTAACAAAATAGTAGCCTGGTAACTCAGAAATATGCCTCTGATTCATTCTGGAAGAACATCTTGTGAAATGCTTGCTCTTCAAGAGAGAAAGTGTAGATGAAATCTGAAGTACAGGGAGGATGAACTCTGGGATGATTTTTTTTTTTTTCCTTTGAGAAGCCAAGTACAGTGTATTTGAGCAGGAAGAATGAGACTCCATCTGCTTTTTTCCTGACCATGTGTCTCTTAATTTGGAACAACGATCTCTTGCAGGTCAAATGCATGCTTCCCTGTTCTTGGGGCTATTTGCAGCAAATACCACATCATGTGGCTTTTATATTTGTGGCATTGTCTCTTATGAGCTGTCTCAGTAGGACCTGAGCAGTAGGCACAGGGGTGTTTCCTTTTGCAGGCTGTGTGTATGATTTTGCTGAAACTGTGGCTTAACGCGGTGTGTTTTATAAGCAAATCTTGCTAAATGTTATGGGTATGTGCTCTTGAACTGATAGCATTCTGTTGCAATAGTTATGTCATAATTAAAGGGAAATTCTGGAGTGCAGTTGCTTGTGTTCTTGTATTTTTATTGCAGATGGTTTTATTAAAAAAGAAGCTTAATGCAATCTATCCTAAACCACTACGTACATATAAGTATTATATGGCAAACCTTTTCACTAAGTTATGCTTATGTCTTTCCTATTCTTAAAACTCTGGGTATATGAGAAAGAATTACTGGGTGTAAAGTTTTATTTCTTGCAGTTTCCTTGGTTGTAAAATCAGGCTGTAATGACAACTTTTACAAGTCAAAGTTACTACCTAAATTTGCATAATATTCTAAAAGTGTAAGAATTAATGTTGGCTTAAACATGAAGTAAGGAGTTCTGCATAACTTTAGTAGGTTATTCTTTCAGGAAGAAGAGCCAATAGAAAGTTTAGAAGATTATATTTAGAAGCAAAGAAATTGCCATCAAAGGCTCGTGATACGTTACTATTGAGTATAACCACATTTGAAACTAAACTGTGGAAATCTTAATAATTCCATCACTTCTCCCCATGGAAAAAAATTCAATCTGTAAAGTAGTTCTAGGAGCTGTTTCTCATGGTGATATATCATCCATACTGCTGCTTTGCCTCTCCTGGCTTGCTAAGAATGTCACCTACTGTTCTGGCTGAAGTGAAAACCAAGGCAACTATGAAAAAGCCAGGAAATGCAGCCATATGTCTTCAAAATAGAAATGAAATGTTCTGCCCTGGTCAACCTCAGCATTAGGTGGTAGTTTGGATTTTAAAACCTGTGGTGTATTAGATGACTTGTACTGATTCCTGTTCCCCTACTGCATACTAATGCATACTAATGCTTAAGGTACCAGCAGAGTTTAGTTGACCTACCCTTTTGTTATAATAATTAAGAATATTGCCCTCTGGTGTGGCATCCTCATAGTCACCACTTGCTCTTTGTTTTCACAGAGACCAAAGCAGCTCCTGGGCCTGCTCCGGAAGAATTTGATAATTCTACCTACAAGAACCTTCAACATCATGAATATAACATTTATACCTTTGTTGATTCTGTTGTGGTTCTCTCAAAATTCAGACAGCCTCAGCCGTCTTCTGGAAGACCATCACCAAGGCACTGAAAGAACCACATTTAAAACCAGTGCCTGGGCAGAATGATCAGTTGTTCTATTTAGCACTGTTGCTTCATCTGTATTATAAATAGGATAATAAAGAGTAAATAAATAAAGGCATGATAACTTATGCTTGTGCTCTTGAAGAGGTGTGGTTTTTTTCTTCATTCTTGGAGTCCCTCACTTCTTGACTTTTATGAATGAGCTGCAGAGTGAATCATCACATCACTGAATAAAAATAGCTTTTCTACCTCTTGCTATATATTATTTGATGATAGTGTGGGGAGAAAAAAAGAATCCTGACTTTTCAGTGTCTCAAACTGAAACTGGCCATTCTTTCAGTACCATGCCAAAGAACGTAATGGCCCTTGTGCATGTGCCTGTTCAGTCTGTGCCATAATTTTAATAGGTGTTGTTATCACTGTAATGCAGCGGGCCTTTCTCCTTGTGCACAAATATGTTCCCAGCTCTGAGGAGGTTATGTTTACTCTGGATTTGAAGTCAAAATCTTTGGCTGGAAACAGCGTAAGAAGTATTTGTCTCCTGTGGCAAGAGTGTATGCTTTGTGTTAGCAGAGGAATGTAAGTCTGTGTAATGTGATTGAAACATCTCAAAACCTCTGCTGTTGTAAAGGGAGAGCATACAACTTTATTTAGTCTTCTATTGGGGGTTCTAGTGGTCTGGTGCTGTAGTAACTGAAATAATTTAAACTGTAAGAGAATCCCAGTGAGCAGTTCCTAATGAACTACGTTACAGTGATTAAGCCCTGAGAAATAATGTATTTCTATGGGTAAAATCACGTGAATGTTATTTCTAAATGTGAAGACAGTAGCCTTATGGTAAATAAAATCAGCTTCTGGTGCTAATTGTTCAGTGGGACTGTGTTTCAGTTTCCACTTTTCTTTTTTTCTTTCCACAATAAAAGTTAACATTGCTGTCCAACTTTACTCTTGCTCTGCATAAAATGTGAGAAATGAGGCACTTCTCAATGTATGTTATCAGCAGTTACAGTTTGTCTCAGTAAATTTTGTATTTCCATCCTATTAGTAACAGTCTGCTGCCCTCTGGGAAAACTGCCTTGATGACCACCAGCTGTTGTGGGTTTAGTTCCATTTTGGCTTCTTGTTCATTTGGGTTTTTTGGGACTTAATTGGTCGTTGAGCAGTTATACTTGCAATAGCTCCAGCATTTTCCATCACCTGTCTGTATTCTTTCAAGCAACAGAATACAGAAGATCAAAGGGAAAACAAGAGTCGGCTTTAGGAGTCTATCTGGATGTTGGACCCAAATCCCTGGGTGCAATTAGGAGAACAGCTATTTTATACTCCAACTTGGCAAAAATGTGGTAAGAAGGATCAAGAGGCCTACATCAGTCTCCTGTGTAGAATTTTAAGTCAGAAACCTCTGGCAGGCAGTTTTATTGTCCTGTAAAAACTAAAAAGCATATTACTAACTCTTAACTATGAAATTTAAAAATCGGCAAATGGATAAAGCCATGTGCTTAGGAATAAAGAGCAGAAAGTCACTTTGAGACACCGGTGGTACCGTGTACACTGTACTTGTAAAAAGGAAAGAAATTTGCTGTTAACATTAAAAACATGAAAGAATAAGGAAAAGGGTCTTCCTTTATTAAGGGCCCGCTGGAGGGCCCCGGTAAAACTGCTGATGCCACGTAGTAACCTGAACCCTGTAGCTTAGATCTGCATCAGTGCTGAAATGTGTTCCTATTTGTTTTTGTGATTTCCAAAGGAGGCTGCAAGTTGTCAGAATCTAAACAGAAAAAGTTAAACGTAGTCCATTAATGTGCTTCTGTATTTACTAAATCTATCACCGTAGCTGGGTCCGTTAGCTGTTTGGAGTCAGACTTGTTCACCTAGTACCCCTTGCATTTGTAAGGATGGTTGGTGTTATAAGCACTGACTTAATGAGCTAAGGAGGAGTGGGTTGGCACAGATGCATGTCTTCCTTTCAGTCAGCTCCTACACTCTCCTGAGCTGCAGTTCTAGCTAAGGAGATTCTACTCTGTACTTGGGGTAAGCATTTTGCTACCCTTGTTTCACGGTTACAGCTAAAAGTTTATGGTGAATAGCCTTCCTGCCTGTGTAATACTGTCTCAGTGTCTTTTAGTGATGTTTTGTGCACCTCTAAAATCAAGCTGGAAGTCAAATAATTTCAATTTCCTACCTATTCTGTTACATATGGTGCATGTCTTTAACGTTTTCTCTGTTTATGAACCAGTTTGGTCTCGGAAGGACACGTAACATGAGGAAGGGCACCAAGACATTTTCCCACTGTTGTGTTTTCCTGGACGTCAATGAAAAATGCTTGCACTTTTTTTTTTTTTTTTAACTTGGGTATTATCAGATATCATTGTGTTCAGGTCGTATGCTAGCATTTAAATTTCAAGCAGGATGTGACACAATATGCTCAAATTCTGTAAGGTTAGTAACTTTGTCTTGCCATGCTAGGCACTTGTCAGATACAGTCAGGGGCCTTGTTTTAAAGAATGTATAATCCAGGATATTAACATAATTCCTGGAAAGCCTTGAATGGGAAATTCCTGGACTTCAATGAAAAATGCTTGCGCTTTTATTTTTTTTTAAATTGGGTATTATCAGATGTCATTGTGTTCAAGTCGTATGCTAGCATTTCAATTTCAAGCAGGATGTGACACAATATGCTCAAATTCTGTAAGGTTAGTAACTTTGTCTTGCCATGCTAGGCACTTGTCAGATACAGTCAGGGGCCTTGTTTTAAAGAATGTATAATCCAGGATATTAACATAATTCCTGGAAAGCCTTGAATGGGAAAGAAATTGTCTCAGCTTAGCTTTTGTAAAAAACTGCTCTTCAGAGCCAGCACAAACTTCAGAAGTGGGGCTTTCAGTGTAAGTAGTGTGTAGGAGCACATGAAAATCTGGAAAGCGGAATTCACTAACTTCTCATTAAGGTAAGCAAATACTTGTCAAAGGGAATGGTTTTCAGACTTCAGGTCCTTTAAATTATTGGGGTTTTTAGCATAGCAAACTGCTAATAGAATCACTTTTCAGAATTTACTTCCATTTCAATCCTTCTCAAGTACCTTATGAGCCCAGAAGGTTCTGGACAGCAGTTGAAAGCCCACAAATCCAAGGTCCAGAAGTAGTAATGCAAGCACTGTTCATGGTGATCACTTTAGTTATTACAAGGTGAAGATTTTTTTTGTTCTCCTAGTGCTTCCTTTGGCAGTCATGATAAGCACTGCAATCTATAAGGCTATCTTCAAGATTTATTTTCAGTTTGGGAAGTAAGACTTTTGCCTGGATGTACTTAAAGATCTTCCACAGTATGTCCCCAATGTCCAACGATCAAAACACATTCAGTGCATCTCATTCTGTTTTCCTCTAAACTCATGCATCATAGAAACCTGCCTGTAGTGTTTTCTCCCACCACAAGAGATGTCATCAACAGAGCTACTTGTACATTATATACACATATATATTATACTATATATGTATTATATATATGTATTATACAATTATATTGAGTCTGCTCTTAACATGTGATGAATAAATGTTGAGGACTTTTAAGGCTGTCTCGGGATGCTGTGTGCTTTTTCCTTCAGCTACTCATGGTAATGAGAGCCTGAGCTGAGAAGAGTCACCAGACTGCCCAACCCTCCTGTAGATCTGTAGATGAGCAGAACTTCTCAGCTTCATGCTGATTAGAAACCCACAGCTCCTAAGTGCTTTAGTGACATTTTGTGATCTTGTGGTATTTGGGAGGAAGAGTAGGAGAAGCTGGAGAGAGCAGCTGCTTGTGTGTTCAAAACGGTTTCATTTCCTGGTGGGTCCAACTAATGACTATTGTGCAGTGAGTGAGTGAGTAGAAAGCGTGCTCATAGTAATGTTGTAACATTACAATCAGGCAAATTGAGGTTGGAAGGGAAGTCTTGAGGTGATCAGTCCTCTGCTCTGCAGCAGGTGCAATTAGGTCAGGTTGTCTTGGACCTTGTGCAGTTGAGTTTTGAATATCTGCAAGGACAGAGATCCTACAATCTCTCTGGTCACCTTCTCCAGTGTTTGAACACCCTCATGATTTAAAAAACAAACACACAAAAAAACCAAACCAAAACCGAAATAGCAAGCAAAACCTTTACCTTTTTTTGTTTTTCGACACTGATCCATACTACATCTCTCTGGCAAGCCTGGTTATGTCGTCCCCGTAGCTTATTCTTCAAGGTATAACATGCTAGGAAGGGCCTTGTGTTAATTTACTCATGTTTTAGTGTGGAATCTTCCGTAGCAAATGGGCAAGGACCTGGGAGACTCCAGTTCGCAGGATGGTGCACAGTGACAGTAGTGTGGAGCAGGTTCAGGTCCCCACTGTGCCTTGCTTTAAAAACAAAGAAACACCTTGGGATTATTCTTGGCCCAAGTATTTGCAATCTGCAAATTGATTCACAGCCCTCCTATGCTATTCTGTATTGTGTGCTGTTGTTTGCATACCTAGTTAGACAAAAGGAGCTAACACAATAAGGGTAATATAGGCACTTTATTACAGGTCCTGTGAACATCTGTGTGACTGACTTTACAACTAGGGTGTTCTTGTATTGTGGTTTTTTTGTTTATTTGTTTTCATTTTATCCTTTGAGAGAAACTCCTTTAAACTCTGGATGATTTTAATTAAACTGTTAGGACTCTAAATGCAATATCCCATCAAGTTTCCAGATCATCCTTCTCCTCTCATGTGATTCTATTTCATGGAATTTTAAATATGATTCTATGATTCTGTGATTTTAGTGCTTACCTATTATCCTTAGTATTCATTTCAGGATAATACCACTGCCAATACAACCGGCACATATTTTTGAGCCCCTTTTTTTTTGTAATTTTGTTTGTTTGGCTTGATTTTTATTTGGTTGGTTTTTTACTACACCCATTCAATTACATTTGGAAATTCATACCCACCTCTGAAAGTCTTAGGACATGTGGCAGCTTTGGGCTAGAAAAGACTGTGTTAATGCGTAGT